GAGAGAGAGAGAGAGAGAGAGAGAGAGAGAGAGAGAGAGAGAGACTATGTCGTAACTTATGTCTCATAACTTATACTTTTTGACTATCTTTTTAATCTTATCTGTTGGCCCAACTCATAACTAAACGCTTGTTTGATTAAAAAGTTTAGTGTAAGTATTTCATTGGAAAATATTTATAAATATTGACACTAAATAAATCTAATGTAATAATTTATTAACAATTTGATATAAAAATCAATGAAAACACATCTATAAGATTATAATCTTATAAATTCAAATACAAATTCAATGCTTTTCAAGCAATTCATTAAACAATAACTTCATATGAAAATATAGTTAACACTTAAATAACAATAAGATAACGCATACCATAGCAATCATATGCAATCAGAACACTATTAACAGAAAGTAAATTAATAAAAAATAGTAAAAAATACTTAAGTTAAAAATAATAGTTAAAAAGAAATAATAAATAAACAAATGATGAAAATGTTTGTCAAATATAGGGTTTGAGTTATTTGAGAGCGTTTTCCTGCAATTGCTGTATCTTATAGTTCTCCTCCTCTTCTCTGATCTTCATTTTCAAAGCAATCTTTGCGTTCAATTTCGCGTCCCTTTCGGGCAGAAAAACAAACTCTTTGGCATCCATTCGGCCCATCAGTACTTGCACTGTGGGCTCGTATGAGCGCTCGTCCACAATAAAGTGCTCGCATTCTTTGATCTGTTTAGTATACGACCGGAAGTCATCCCTAAGCACTTTGAATATCTCCGCTTCGCATCTGTGGGCCAACGCCTGGACACTGACCGAACCGTACGGTACTATCGTTTTGGCCAACACTTTGGCCAATCTCTGGCGCTCTTTCACCCGAACCGTGTACTCAATGGTCAACTTATGTCCGGCGCTATCCATTTTGCCCGACGGCAGACCGCTTCCGATCAGATCAAAGTCTTTGGGCGCCACAGTTCTCGTCTCCAAACGCCGGGCCATCACTAATCGTGGCGCGAGTTTTGGCTTTGGCTGGGGTTTAGGCCTGAGTGGGTCCGCGAGAACGTTGATCTTGTCCTTCAATACCTCCACATTTGGATCACTTATTTCGATGATCTTCTTATGGCTCAGAGGAGACTCGTTTAGAGCTCGCGTTCGGTTGAGTTTCCACTGCTTTTTTCGTCGCGCGTCCAACTCTTCAGTATATTTAGCCATATTTCTCATCCGATAAGACATTGTTATTGATATAGATTGGTATAAATGAGTTAATATGGATATAAAATAGTATAACAAAAGTAAAATATAAAAATTAAAATAAAATAACAATAAAATAATTAATTAAAACTGCATTTAACAGAAAGGACTCGGATTTTATGCGAGGAGCGTCTCGTCCGACATTCAAAAGGAGATTTGAATTATAAAATTATTTTCGTCTCTTTTATAGACTTGTGAAACAATAGATTTTATTTGTATAAATGGTAAGTTTTTTGGTATATTTTTACAAACTTTAAGTATAATATGAATATAGGATAAGGAAATTAGTGAGTAAACTAATTATCAATTGTATTTCAGTAGTTTTTTTTAAATTTTTTGACTCAAGTATACAATAAATTGATAATCAATTACTCCTTTTAAAAGAAGATTAAATATTTAATATTTCCATAGATTTTAAAACTGATGACATTAAGGTAAGTGTTGTCCAGTAAATGAGAAACTTTTTTTTTGTAAATATCAGTTTGCATTCATTGCTATTCTTTCATACTGTATATCAATAACGATATTTTTGACCTCGCATTTGACCACCACTTCATTAGAGCTCTTTATATCTTCAACGACACCGTGTGATCGGAATCGTAGGCACAAAAAACTAGTAGTTTTGAAATATATATAAATTAGTAAATCTATACTTAAGAACATTTATTGAGATAATCATAATAAAGGTCTTAATGGTTACCTTAATGGTTAACTTAATGGGATTTAAGCTTAGATTTGTATTTAAAGTGAACGAAAGCATAACAATTGCGGACTTCTTGAGCGGACTTCTTGTGCTCTGTCTTGATATGCATTTCAATCATATTCATTGAGTCCACTAATGGCGCGAATGAACAGATCTGACATTGAGGCACAAATCTTATGCCAGTCTTTTCAATACCACTTTCACTGTCAACTGACGAAGAAGTGGATGGTGTTATCGACTTCGAGGCGTAAGTGGTGGTCAACTCTTGGTTTTGCATTACATTTGCTTTCTCTGTTCTATTTGTGCATAAAATCATATTAAACACAATTTGCGTCAATTGTTGACATTATCTTATACTTTGTGGTGACGTTTGAATCCAATGAAGCGGACGATGAAGTACTCGAAGACAAGTGTTTGGTTTTCGTACGTTTGGTCTTATGATTTGTTTTATTTAACTCCGAATGGCGTTCATTGTCTTGTTTTTTGACAATCTTTCTGTATTTAATGCCATTCATTGCTTTGCTATATTTGAAGTGACGCTTCGAGTGATGTCTCTTATAATCATTCATTGAATGGTATCTCTTCTCGCAGTGAAAGCAGACAAACCGTACGATACTCTCGACCTCATCGGTCGGTCTATCGATCAAAGCTAACGACTTCTTGTCGAATATCCGAACCCCTGTTCTCTTGTCAATCAGATTATAGTCAAAGACACGACTTTTTCTTACACTTTTAGTTTGTGTATCAGTTGTCGTGCCGTTTGTGGACTTACTCTCACACTTTGACTTCGGATCGCAAATCTGGCCGTCAGTCCCCGCCTTATCTTTACAGTTGTTTATCATAACTTCTTTGGCTTTGAGTGTAACCATAACTTCATCCGATATCTTCATACCTTCTGCAACGGAAGCGTCGACCGAGTCATCACAATCGGTGTCCACATCATCTTCGGTGAGAGCATCAAAGTCTATGTTAATTGTATGAATAGTCGACGACATCCTGACAGTGATCTGACAAAGAAAACCGATTTGCTTTTTTTCAAAACATCACTTCATTTTATGTTATATATTGAAAACAATTAACGGCTTGATTGCCGACGATTGGTGCCTAATGTATAAACTTTATAATTAACATTTTGCTGACTATTTTGTACATTCATTCATATATTTCCAAAACATTTTGCTCGTAAAATTTTAATTATTTTATGCGTTCATACAATTAATGTTTTAAATACAAAGAAACGTCATTTTTATAACATTTATTATTACTTACCGATAAATATAAAAATAATTTTTACTGAAACAAAAAGGTTTATCAATTTAATTTTGTTCGTAAAATAGCAAAAACTTCTCTACAAGTTGTGGACTAACCGTAAGAATGAGAAACAGCTAAAGAGAAAGTAAAATAAAGTGCTTAAAATGTGCTCTGAATTTATTGTATGAAACATTATATGGGTTCACAGTTTAGTGTGGTTTTAACACTACGATTAGAAGATCTTTTAGTGTGATCTTATTTAAATTAGTGTGTAATATAAATACGACTATAAAAACATTATACTTAACTCTCACTTTATAAAGTGCCCAATTCTGTGAAAAACACAAGTCCTTCTGGAAAGAGAGAGAGAGAGAGAGAGAGAGAGAGATGAGTATATAATATATTGTTGCTCTCGTTTTAATACTTTACAAAATAAGTGTCACAAAAATCAGGTCAAACTAATAGATCTTCACTTCTTCT